TCAACATCTATTCGATGACCAAACCGAGTTTTTGATGTTAGAAGAATAAGTATAATGGGATTACTTTCATTTTTTTGTTGATCATAAATATTTGAACAACGTTGTTTAAGATTATCTAAAATCCATTCTGTATTATGTTGATGAGGATAAATCATATTAGATCCAATAAATTTCTCAGCAAATATTTCTCGAGCCGAACTTACGAATGGTATATAATCGGACAAACTACTATTAATAAACCATGTATTTTTACGGTCTTTGAAAAAAAAATATTGTAAACATTTATCAAGAATGGCATTCGAGGTAGTACATGGAAATATTTCATAATCAGGCCAATATGATCTACTTTCTTGATGTAATAATGTTGTAAGAGCATCAAATAATGCACTACGATTTTGTTTATAAATAGGCCATAATTTATCATAATAAATACTCATTAATGCTGAAAATTCTGTAACTTTTTTTAAATGTAGTGGGCGAGCAGCTCCACCAAAATACATTCCTTCATTTGCTCGATAATTCCAATTCCATAGATGTTCAATTTCATCAAATGTAGTATTTCTAAGTTTCTCATTAAATTGATCAACAAAACATCGAACAGTTTCATTTTGCCATTGAACATAAGCAATAATCGTATTCAAGTAATCTGTTGGTTTAATCATTGAATGCATTTTTAATTTAAAAAACCGTTCTAATAAATGTGTACCTTCAATAACATTCTCTGGTGAATTAGAATACAATTCGATTATACGCCATATATGACTTACAGCCTATATGAAGAAGAAAGACGAATTTCTATTGTGACATGTTTGCTCTCATCAAAAGAATACTTACAAGAGAAGGTTCAGTCAATTGATTGTTCATTAAATCATCGCTTAATGATCTTACTATCTTTTTAATATTGAATAAATCTCGAATCAAAGAAACTTGATGTATACAATCATATTCTGAAGTCTCATCATTGAATCTCAATCTAATTCGAGTTTGCAAATTATCTAATTTTACTACAATCTCTTTGATTTCTTCTTCTAAGATATAGAAATTATCTACTTCCATTGCTTCGAACATGTCTCAACATTCAATTATTTTCTTTTGATGAAAATCCAAGTTTTACTATACTCAATGAAAAAATTCTAAGTAAGTTTAAGTATCTTGTTTTTCTTCTCTTCAAAGTCTTTTTCATGTTGTTCATTTTTTAGAATACAATATTTATTATTTTGCAAGTAGGAAGTGCTTTGTTTTCAATTGCGTAGTAGGGACTAATGTATCGTCATTTTTTATGCGTCGAAACAAAATGAGACGTCATCTAAATGGCGAATGTACGATGCTTGTAATGACTCAGCTTAAGCTACTATTGACAAATATAGTGTCTACATAACTTTTCTTTCTTCTCTCGATATCAGAATAATTTTGCAATTGAAACCATTTCTTGCTTTAATCTATTGATAAGTGTTATTCAATAAACGCTTATTCTTCTTGAATCATGATCCACTTAAACCCAATTATACATGGAATGGGAGCTTATCAATCGTAAATATCGAAAGAGAAGTCAAACGTTTGATGCGAAAAATTTCGTTACTGTTCAAATATAGACACTGTCACGTCTCGAAAGATCTAAATTCATGGACCCATCCACTGCTGCAGAAGAATCGAATTTAGTTAAATGAATCAAGTTCTAAATGAAAAGTATATTGGTATTTAGGAAACTTGATTCAAAACTCTTCGTTGCACATTAGGGATGATTAGCATGCATTTTGGTTCTAGACCTTTAGTTTTGACCAGAAAAAAGAAAGTGTTAAGAAACATTTGTATCTTCACTTAGAAGATCATTACTATATACAATTGTCATTAAAAATAATATAATTCATGAAAAGAAAAATATATTTTAATTGACTCTTTTTCTTGGATTTCTGCATTTGAGAGCGTTGTACTCCAACATTTGATAGAAACAATGTTATAATTTAAAAAAAAAAATAAATTTTTCAATAATTATCGCTCAGTTTCTTTTCAACATACTTTAGCATGGCATGTATTGGCTTTTTTCTAGGATGTTCTTTTACAGCACATGTTATATTTTTTCAGTCTCTTATGCGCATCTCTTCGATACGCTTCTCCTTTTTGTCATTGACTTGTTAAACAAGCTGAATTTGTGTTTGTAGAATACACAAATTATAGTAGTGATGAGTTTTCAGTTGTACATAGCGCATCGTCTCATCGTGAATAATATCCATAACTTTCTCATCCCTCTTTGCATATAGTATATTGCATCTATACAGAACAAAATGAAAATGAAAAAAACATGCCGACAGAAAAAAGCATGCCGCATACACTTCGTTGAAATATTTCGTGTCCTTCACATATAGTACTATACAGATGATTTTTCTTTTCTTCGAGTAGGATAAATAGAAACTGAAGAAAGGTGAAGAGAGAAAAAGAACCAAAAAATACAATGCATGCCATAAGACCAGATAAGACAAAATAATAATACATACAAACACACAAGAAAGAGCAAATAGTTTAACTAAAGATGTACCATAATCGATGACCGTAACAAATAAAAGTTATTTTTTCGTATTTTAAATGCGTATGACGAATCAAATGAGTAAAAAGACGCATGAATGACATTCAATATCATGTGATAGTATAAATATGAAATTAATTCGAATGTATTTGAAATATGACAAGCTAACATCACTCTTTTGTATCAAATAGTTTTCATAGAATATTAATTTACATTTAAATTTACATGTGTGTTACAGTTTACACATATGTATACTTTTGTTTTATTTTATATAACTTTTCTAACGAAAAAATTCAAATTGTCATGGCTACGTTCTTTATTGCCCACAATTTTCCATCATATAAAACGAGTTAATGATTCAATGAAGACAAGCATAGTATTATTTTGTTTATAAGAGTAAAGACAATGAGTATTGTGCTAGTGTTCGAAAAGTTTTTTCATTGTGAATGTTTTCAGATAATCTGTAATAAGATTCGTGTTGACAGTAAAAAAAAAAAAAGGTGAGTATACAATTAAAAATTAATAGATAAAATCGTCTATGTCTATGAAATCATTGTAGGACCAACGCCAGGTACCATATGAAAATAATCATCTAAACTACGAAAAAATGAATCACGTTCACGTGGAAGGTTTAACACTTGTGTATGATCATGATCAGGTTCAGCGTCTAGACGCATACCAAGTTTAGTTGGTATAGCTGATTTTGAAATAATTGTTCGTTGAACATCAAATATTTCTTCTTTTAAACCATTTGGCCGTGATAAACGTTTATATGTTGGTACATAACGTGTAGCAAAGGTATGATCAAGTGGAAAAGTAGCTTGAAAAACAGGTACAGTAAATGGTCGAGATAAATATTTCATTGTTGGTGGTGATGTATTTGAATTAATAAAACCTCTTGTTGGCAAAAGTTGTTTAAGATTTCGTATTGATGGTAATCCTTGAGGACGATCTTTTTCAGTAAAATGTTTTCGACAAAACATACATGGACATGCTGATATTGGTAATATTGAACCATCAATTTTTACTTGAGAAAATTGATTAGCAGCATGAGCAGGACAAAGAGAAAAATCATTTAAAGATGTTACCATAGAACAATTGCATCGATCATAAACATGGCTATGATGTAAACTTTCAGCCAATTTAAATTGAAGTTGACTACGACGAAAACGATTCCAATCAAATATTGGTTCAGTTAAACGTGTATAAACAGATGGCCATTCAAAATCAAATTGATTATCAACAGCAGGTAATGAAGAAGAATCACTTGTACTCATATCGGTCAAAATGACCGACTATCTAGAAAAATAAGGAGGAATAGAATTATTATATTATAGACAAAGGCACTTTGACAATCTAATAAAGCAAGAAGAAGAAGAAGAAGAAGCAATTCAAGTTTTTTTTTTGTTTTTAAGAATGAACAACACACACACATATATAAGAAGAGCAAGAGTTTTTTTTTTATAAACTAGCTAATTTGGATAGCTGACGATAATCTTCAATTCTTACTCATAAAGCCATATCATAAAAATAATTATTACGATGATACGATCTTGCTGCTGATCGATTAGCTGTTGAATTTTTCTTTGTTGGTAATGCTGGAAGAAAATTTCGTTCATCTGTTGCTCTTTTGTGTTCATCTTGTGGTAATGGTGTTGGTGGTGCTGATGATGCTCGTGATTTTGATCCATTTGTTTGTTCTTTTAAAACCCATTGTTTCTGTTTATGATATAATTCATTTGCACATACACGATATGGTGGTACATAATTAAATCGTGCACCTTTTTGTCGATAAAATGTATCACCTGTTTTTGATGAACCACGTAAAAAATAATATGGATAACGATCAAGTAACTCATGAAAAAGTATATAATTGCCAATAGTTTCCGCTCGATTTAATTCTTGTTGTTCTTGTCTATATGAACAAATATCAGATTGAGTTGCAAGTGGATCAGATAGAAGAAATTTATATGTTGAATAATCATCATGTATTGGACATTTTGTTATCATGGTACAACCACAACGTTTATAAACTTCAGCAGAGGCATCATTTTCAGGCCAATGACGATTTGCATATGAATCACGATCAATTAATACACCAGCACCTTCACCAGCAAGTGAATATTCTACCATTTTAATCTACAAAAAATAAATTAAAATAAATATATACAACAGAAGCATTTATCTATTTATTTATTCTAATTAAAGTACAGTAGGTATAAGATAAGCAGAGAGTGATGTTCCAGCAAGTTTATGTCGATTCCAATAATTTTCCGAAAGAAAATTTTCCTATTTCAATTTCATTATCATGATATTAAGTATATCCAAGTTGTTCTTTATTCAAAGAACTATTCAATTTCGATAAATCAAATAATAAAGGTGGATCATGATCAAAACGAGTAACACCAGATATGCTTACTGTAACATTGTTACCTAATTTATCTCAATAAAGCATTTCATGAAATCGTCGTGATGAATCTAAAAGACAATGATCGATAAAGAGTATGAGTTGTAGCCACACACATAATTTTGATGGAGATCTAGTCGACAAATCAACGGTAGACAATTCAAGATATCGTTTGTCATATATGAAGAATAATATAACAGTGTGCTTTGTAATGATGAAAACAATAAACGATATAGATGAAGATGATATTCATTATCTAAACGATCATGTTCTCAATTGAATATACCTAATCGATATACAAATGGAACATGAGGTTCTTTCAAATCCATCTACAATCTAATGAATAAATGTAAAGAATAACACATGATCATATGCATTGTAAAAATAACAACAATAAAATAATAAAAAAAAAATTGCCTTTTTATTCTGTTTTCTATTGAATCGTCTACACGACAAAAGACAAACACAATTTTCTTTCCAGTCTTCGAAAACACATACATCCATTAAATAAAATAACAATCGTTACTGTTTTTATATTTTTTTGTTTTATCAAAATGCATTTATGCCATTTTTCTTTTCTACTTCTAAGCAACGTTCTTCTCTAGGATTTCTTCTCGTCAATCATTCGATAATTAAATTAACCAATCATATTATTGATCATTTGTTTTTTCTTTCGATATTCGATTTTATACAAAAAAACTTTTATTTCAATTTTGATCATGGCACAACAAATATATAAATTA